ATTCAGGAATGGCCGCGATTGTTACGGCGGCGACAAAAGTTTAGCTAAAACGGAAGGGACCCACGATCTCGCGGATTTCTTTCCACGATTTTTTTCCCCGATTAAACGCGCCTCTCAATTGTCAACCCTCGAAAAAACAAGGGTTCTTCTTGGTTAGCAGTGTATGATATTCGTGCATTGATCAGAGAAAGAAGAAGGTACGAGGTGTAATTGTTAAAGGTAGGATGAATAAAGGAGATTGTGGAGATGAAGGAATTAATTGAATTAATGTATGTTCATAGGGAGATTAAATTGATCGGTAGTCTTGATGAAATTTTAATAAGTAGACTACAGATTAAGTAAAGATTTATTTCATTTCGAAAAATTTAAAGTGTACTCTTGGATGTACTCTTATTGAAATCGTAATTTATCTTAAAACTCGATTAAATCTTATTAAAATTAAGAAACCTTCGAATATATAATTCTGAAGATGGTTCCTTTTTAAAATTCCTTTTGATAATTCATGTAAAACGAAGGATAATTTTTATCACCTTCGTTTTTGTTGACCTATTCCAATCTGACAGACACGATTTCTGAAGAAAGAATGACGCTCGATTCCAGGAAAAAATATTACAATTAAAATAAGCGCTATAGATTGAATCTTTGCATTCTCGATTGAGAATAAAGAATAATCTTCTTCTATTTTCGTAGATTCTCCCGTTTGTCATTTCGATCAACTACGCAATTATCCAAACGAGAATCGGTAAAAAAAAAACTTTGCAAGATCTCACTTCCATGGCTCCCAGGCTCATTTGCATTCGACGAATCGACGGTCTAAAACTTCAGGCGAAGGCGCAAATTTCGAAAACGGGAATAGCAAGTTTTTCTTCCAAACCAGACTCCTCCCTTCTTCCCCTCCCCCATTCCGATGGCAAGTTTACGAGCCGAGGAATTCCGCCCCGTCAATACTGTATTAGCCCACGATAAGTTTAAGCCATTTGAATCCCGGGCCGGGGTTCAACCTAGCCGACCGTCGCAACTTTAATGGCTCGCAGATTTACACGGGTAGAAACTTTGTTACAGGGCCGAGTGAAAAGCTCGAGGCATTCGACTCTGTCTCCGACCGAAACGAATTTCTGATTTCGCACACGTACCAACTTGCAAGAGTTTCTCTCCCGTTATTCTAATCTGTTAAAGCATTGAGAGCGTTAAAATAGCTTCACGGAAACATATTTTATTTTCGTTTACGTCGAACTTGATAATTTTACTCGAAAGAGCTTTTATAAAAATGTGAAAAACAAAAAAATGACGAATATGTATAGGGATAAGAAAATCGATAAGAAATTTAAATTATCGCATGTAGTAAAATACGTAAATGCATATATTATAATAAGATTTTCAAAATTAACAAAATTGCAATGTGAACGTCGATCGACGAATTTTTACTCTTTCGAAGTAAAATGATCAATTTGGTCCTTATTGGCTCAATAAAATTCACGATAAGCGCCGCAACAGAAACGAAAAATCCATTGAAAAGAATTATTAAAAAAAAATAAAAAAAAGAAAGAAATTCTAAAAATTGGCAGATTGATTTTCGAGAATTGGAATTCGAATTGGAATTTCACTCGTTATTACATTTCTATTTTATATCGAATATCGCAAAGTGAGATGTATTTATGCGATCTATAAACTTGTAAAATATGGATTCGAATACGTTTCTGCTACGTTAAAGTTCGCGAGCCTGTAAAATTTCAACGATTATTATATCGCGCTTAGCGGCCGATAACGAGTGGCACGAAATCAGTTTCATGGATCCCTCTCTGTGATTCAAACGAATTTAAATCCCATCCCATCCGTTAAATATCGGTTTAACGACATTATCGACCGACTGCCGTATTTCCTGTGCAATCAGATCCGGCTTTATGCATCAGCATATTTAATCGCGCGACGACGACGTTACGTTAATTAATATGTTTGCTGATAACGTATTAATCTGTCGTTAAATATCGGCCGGCCAAGAATTAACGTGTGACACAAATTGTCGTTTGATAATTTGTAACTCGTTCATCAAACGTATTTTACTTTGTTAATTGTTAAACAAGAAAGGCAAACTATAATATATATATTTCTCTAATTGATTCAATTATCAATTGAATTAGGAAGTAAAAAGAAAATTTTTTTATCAAATTATTGAATATCTTCTTGTAAGAATTGTAGTTATTTTTTCTTTCAAGTATTTCGTCGTATTATTGGTTTTTATTTACTTTAAACAAAGAAAAAGTTAAAATGTTGTATGTCTGGCGTCCAGAGGATTAATCTTTCACAACATTCGAGTTTGGCAGGAATCCCGAAAGAACTTTAAATCTGCTGATCACGTGAAAGTTTTGCAACGTCACCTCGCTCTAATCGGCTGATTCTCGTTAATCTTCGATTCTTTTATTTACTTTGGAAAAAATATATCGAATCCTTTGTTAAATCTGTTGAATCTGTTTGCGAGATTAAAATATCGATATATGCATTCGTTATCAAATTTCGTTTTCTATTAATCCAACAATATAGATCATATTGTATTGACACAGCTATTTTATAAAATATTTTAATAAAAATTCATTTTCGAAGTAAATAAACGATTTTTATAGTAATTGTATGATATATTTCTTTCAAAATTAGAAACGCGGTTTCTAGATCATTTTTCTTTTATGAATATAAACTTGATCAAACTAATTCGAAACTGCAAGAACATCAAACTTTTATAAAACCAATAAATATATAAAAATATATTTAAGTTCTAAAAATACATCAATTCGAATAGCTCTTACTTTGATTACTTTGATTAAATATTTTCATTTTCATATAATTTATCATGAAATTACATTTTTTAATTCAAATCCAAAAATTTCTAACACCAGTCACGATTACTTATAATCCCTCTTTAAGATTGTTATCTCCTTTAAATAATTTTAATATCCTCCCAATTTACAATTTTCGCTTCAAAATGAATTACAATCGCACAATTCCCTCCCTGTTATTCACCTATAAAAAACAAATCCCCATCCAATATTTCTCACAAACTTTACTTACCACTTTTTCACCTTTAACCTACTTCTCTTAACCACCTTTCACACCTTTAACTCTACTTTCTCTTATTCATTTGAAAACAATTCATATCCACTATGTATCTCGAACTTCCACTACTTATCGATCACAACTTTCCAATCCCTTCTCCTTTTACCTCGCGATTACGTTCGACATTGCAAACCATTCACTTTTCTTCCTTCTCGCAACCGAGGTAAATCCACGAACATATCCCCTTTAATGAATAATCATGAACAATTAACCAGACCGGTGTTTCGTTTCCAGGCCTTGGTATATCGGGACGGGAATCTGGTGTCGGGCTCGTTGGAAGCCCTGGTGCAGCATATGGTGCCCACCGAGGAATATTATCCCGATCGAGCTTACCTCTTCGCCTTTTTGCTGAGCGCCAGGCTCTTCATCAAGCCGCACGAGCTTCTGGGCGAGGTCTGCGCCCTCTGCGAGCATCAGCAAAACCTGAATGGAGAGGGTGGCAAGGTGAGGCCACACGAATCCTCCTCCTCCACCCTCCTCCTCGTCCC